ACCGCTCCCTCCTGTTCTTCAGCTTATCCTTCTGACCCTCTGGCCTTTCCTGTTGGTGCTCCAGGTGTCTGTTTACCTGCTTATGCTCTGCATTGCAGCCCATGGCCACATCCTTCATACTGCCGGGTGCACTCACCCACGCTCCCCACCTTCTGCACGCACACGTGGACACGGACAGACTCCCTCAGTTACACGCACACACACCTGTCTACACTCCCATCTCCATGTGCACACAGGCAGATTCAGCGCTGCCTAAAGTGGGTCCCCTCCATGACCTTGCCTCTCTTCCTGGAGGGGCACAGAGTACCTGTCCTCCTCTGCTCACCCCTGGTGTGCCCACCCTGGAGCTGAAAACGATTGGAATGGTGGTGCCAACCTCTGGGCACCAGCTTGACCTCCTGAGGGCAAAGCCCCTCTGCCCGAAGCACTAACAACAGCTCCAGCAGACCCTGCCTTCTCACAGGCGCTGTCTCAGTGCTCACTGGAGTTTCCTTCTCTGACCCTGAATCCAGCTCACTGGTGAACAGGAGACCACCCAGATGAAAGCCTTTCTGCTTTTTTTTCCTGTAGCTGCCTCAGCCTCAGACCACCCCCTGGTTCAGCCCCGCCATTGGGATATGGACCCCGCGCTGTGTTGGCTCCTTTGGGTGCGTCCAAGGGCTGGCCAAGCCAGGGTCGCTGCAAGCCACCTGAGGCATCTGGGCAGGTGCCAGGAGTGGAGCTGGGCTGAAGAGCATCCTGGGGGCCCTGGCGCCCCTACAAACCACAGAGGCACACCCCAGGAGCACTGCCTTTCAGTGCAAGCTGAGTGCCGCAGTGGGGAGGGAGGGAGGGTCCTGTGGGAGCGGCACCTGGCAGCCAAGCTTCTGCTGCCCTCTGCTGTACGCTGGGAATAGAGGGCTCTGAGATGTTAGGCTGGTAGGGAAGGCACAGGGCGGGGAGTCTCTTCCCCGTGCCCAGACTATGTGGAGACCTCCAGGTAGGAGGATGCCCAGGGGCACTTGGGGACAATGCTCTGATTCACTTGCTTCAAATAAGAAGTTTCCACCCCATTGACGGCTCTCAGGTATCCAATGGTGATGGTCAGCAGCACCTGTTTCCTTAAGAACAGAGCTGTGTTGTCTGTCCCTACTGCTTGCAGGGGGCCAGCATCAGCTTTCAGACCCCCTTCCTCCCTGCTTCCCTCCCTCTGAGGAGTGAGTAGGCACCCCAAAGTCAGCCGGTGCTGGGGTCAGGAGTTCATGGTGATGACGCTCAGGTGCTGGGTGAGTGTGACCAGTCTCCATCACCTGGGGCTGACTCACGGCCAAGTGTTCCTTCTTGGAGATCACAGTCTTGGGGCCCGCTGAGACGGGAGGCTGTCCCTCGGTCAGGTCAAATCCAACCAACAGGGCCAAGGACAAGCTCAGCAGTCCGTCTCCTCTCCACCCCCCTCTGCTGGACAAATATGTGTCATCCATCGCTGCCACCCTCAGGCCTAGGTGTGAGATTTCAAGCAAGTGGACTGATTTCTCCAAGCTGAGCTTCTCCTTCTGTAAAGTAAATAATAAAACCTACTTTGTCCAATCCTGATTCTGTCACTTACTAGCTTGGAGGTCTCAACCATATTCCTTCGCCTATTTGTATCTCAGTTTCCTCATCTGGAAAATGTGGATAATCATGCTACCTATGTGAGAGGGTTAACGTGAGATTTGAATGCATTAGATTTATAACGTGTTAATATATGTAAGGCTTAGAATCATGTGTCTGGCACAGAACTAAGATTTTTTTTTTTTTTTGATTGTAGGACTCTAGGAGATACCCAGGTGGCTCAGAGAAGGCTGCTTTGTGGGAGAGGAGAAGGTTGATCTTTGGGGAGACCTGCTGTCTGTGGATTAGGGTTCCTGACCTATCTTCAGTCTCAGAGCCCCTGTACCCTCCATCTTACCTTTAGCCTCAGATGCCCACTCCTCACAATAGGGAATCTCATAGGTGATGTGTTTGGGTTTCCACCTCCTAAAAGCACAGTCACGTGCTCTTGGCTTAGCAGGTATCTCTTGGGACCCCCCCCCCCCCCAGCCATACTGTCCTGGGAATGCCTTCCTGCTTTTTCAAACGGGGAATGGGCCCTCACGCTGTGCCAGGGAGAGGTTGCCACGGAAAGAGGGTTGAGTCTCCCAGACATGTTGGCACTCTGTTGCCCAGTAGAAAGATAAACATCACTTTGACTGTCACTCCCCCCAGGGCACCCGCCAGGGTTGGGAGACACTTCTCCCCCTGAATGCCCAGCTTTCTGCACATGGGGAATGGAGCCCACCGTATGCCTGCCTGGTCACCTGCCAGAGGTGGGTCATCATATGTCCAGAGAGCTGCTTAGCAACCCAGTGTAACCAGGTGACTGTGTCAACAGCTCAGGACCAATGGGTGTGAGAGGCAGAGTCCACTCACTCTGCCAAAGCCCAGGAGGGTGACCTCCTCAGCTGTCAGCCTCACACCCCTCCATGCTCTCAGTAGCAGACCTCTGACATCTTGTCCCTTAGATTTTTTCCAAGCACAATCATCGGGACCAAGAGTCTCCATGTGAGAGACATTCCCAGCTGGGTTGGCTTAGAGCGGGCACAGGGGAGCTCCTCTCCAGCGAATGGGGGTAAAGGGAGGCCTGTGATGCTGAGGTCAGGTGATTCTGGAAGGCAGCGAAGGTGGGGGAAGGGAGGCAGTTCTGCAGCAGGTACCAAAGGCCCGAGGCTCACATGCACACAGTCAGCCCAGGTACCCTAACTTCTGGAGGAATGGATGTCCATTCCCTTTTCTGTACCCCCTGCTCCTCCTGAGCTATCCAGAGGGTCAGTCATATCCTTTTGCTCCAAGGAGACAAGGATACTTTTCACCTTCATTACAATGTCTGTGTCCAGAGATGGATGGTGGCCGGGACCTTCCTGAGGGGATCCTAGCCCTGGGTGGTTCTTGTTCCTCCAAACTAGGGTGGGAGCTAGGGCCAATGTGAGCATATGATTAGGCCGGGGGAGGGAGGCATCAGGGCCTTGGGGGAGTTTTTCCTTTGGGTCAGTTTCACTGCAAGCTCTCCCACTCAGCAACACCAATAAAACTGATGATGATAATTATGACTATATAATCACTGAGTGTTTATTTATTCCCAAGAAGCCTCCTTTCCCTCCATCATTAGCTATTCCATCCTTTTGATAGATGGTGAGTGTTAACTGTAGCTCTAATAAAAAGTAATAACTGCCCAAGTTTTCCGCCCCCATGCTCTGGGCAGCTCTGCTGTCACCCTCACCTCAGCCCTACGAGGCAGAAGGGAAGCTGTGC